GGTTGGGGGGTACTTATAATTCTCCAAACTATCCGAATCACAAAAACGTCCAGTTGAAGATGCACATCAAGTTTATCGGCCTCAGGAGAGGTGGGAGGGGATATTTCACCAGAAACACAGAGGAAGAAGAAAAAATCTCTCCACCTCCTCCTCCCTCACCTCCATTTCGTCTTGAGACAACAGGATATTGGCTGTCATTCGCCTACTGTGTATCATTGTCGGGGATGAATGGTGAATGGGTCTATGAGTGGGGTAGAAATGGAGGAGGAGGGGGGTGTAAGGGGGGAAACAAGTAGGCCAGCCGCAGACCTGCGTGAGAAACATATTAAACAAGGCACATCTGTGAGGCAGCGTGGTGAAATCAGGCGGTCGTCAAAATAATTAAATCGAACAAACCTGCATTTTCCCGCCGGTTTGGTAACTTTCGTCGGATTTTTTTTATCAACACATTTTATGTCCAATAAGTAAAAAAATATTTCTTTATGGCTTTTACAGAAAAACGATAATTAAAAAACACAAAAATGTAAACTTTCAGTTTCCAAAGACTTTCAAGATACAAACGTCACCAAATTTTGAAGGCCTTTTTCTAGCTCTGGTTATCTCAGAAACCACTCAACCCCTACCTCCTTTAATGGCAAATATCTTGACTTCTATTCAAGACAGATGGGTAATTTTTCATCAAAAGCAAGACAAAGGAACAAGGAATACCATTAACTTCACATGACCAAAAATTGACAAGCGCCAGATTCCATCCGATCGTGACACAATTTGTTCGGTGGTAGGACAATATACGTCAAAGTCTGTACTCAGATGTACTCCACCACCACCATCACCACCACTACCAAGTATCAGATCTGAAGCTGACATCAGCGGTAATGGTTCGTCATTCATTTCTTTGCTCGAATGCTCTAAAGCAAGCTACTCAAAGAACCTAGACAGACGGGTAACGGCGAAAAATCAGGGCAACGTAGTTTTTTATGAGCCTCCGAGCAAATGGAGAATCATGATCACCGATGTCTGTTGCAGATCTGGCTCTGGATGATGATGGTGATTACCCTAATCTTTCTCCGTCACCCATCTAGATATCTGTACATTTTTTCCAAGTAAGTTGCTCTGGGTTTACCCCTGTCTCGTTTGCCCTCCATCGTTTTTCCAGTGAGAGCAGGTTGTTGGAGGCCTTGATGCCAATTTAAGTGTCCCAAACATTGCGTTTGTCTCTTTCTCATTTGTTTGTATTAGTAAGCGGCCCGTGTGGTTTTCTTTGAGCACTACATCATTAAATAAGTGAAGTAGTAACGAAATAAAATTTTGATTCTTTTCATTTTATAAAACTCCCAACAGTCTCTTAAGAAACCACATTTCTGTTGCTTCAATTTTATTATTCACCGTCTTTAGTAATTGTCCAGCATTCACAGCCGTATGGTAAGATGAACCACACACATATAACTTTTTGAAACTCTTACTTTGGTTCGAATCTCTAACAGCATAATGTTAAAAGTAGGTTATTTTTAGCGTTTTCAAGGCTCTCTACAAATATGGCTCTTTCCTGTCGGAGTCTGACGTCATAACTTTGGAAGTCACGCCTCTTATACAACCTTACAGAGTTGAAAGGAATCTAAAACAATATCATATCGTGTTCTGTCCTCGACAAGACCTAATATAGTTATTTATGCTAGGTTGAGTGTTTTTATTGTTCAGTATTAATAAGTATTTTACGGCACTTTCAACACAATAAGGTCATAAAAGTGCCGAAGTTTAGAGGTGTTACAAGAGAGTAACAAACACAAAAAACGAAGGAGGGGAGATAGAGACGATAGATGTTTTATTGGAAAGAAGAAGCAAACTACACCAGAGCAACCATATTTTTATTGGTAAATTGGATAAGATAAATAATGTTTTATGGTCTATGTGGGACATTTTCCTGGGTTTACAGGAATCGTAAAAGCTCACACTAGATTTCCATAAAAATTGAAATATATATTACTTTCCTATACGAATTCTTATTTAAAGAGAAAATAAAAGCACTGGAAATAATATAGCATGTTATATCAAATGCTTCTCTCAGACAACATACGCGGATTTATTACAGATTCTTTGACAGTTACTTTAGTTCCCGTAGTTTAACTGTCTGCTTGATAAAGAAAATATGTCGTTTTGAAAACAGAGTGCTTTGTTCGAATAAATATGTCATGACGTGGTGGTATCAGGCGCTTGTCAATTTTTTGACATATAGAGTTATTGGTATCATCTTAAAGCCTGTTCATTTGCCTTCCTTTTGATGAAAAAAAATACCCTTCTAACTTGAATAGAGGTCGAAATATTTGTGATTGAAGGAGGTCAGGGTCCCCAGTTTGAAATGGTCGCCAAAGTTTGACGACTTCCAAAGCTTGAAAGTCCTTAGAAGCTGCAAATTTACATTTTTGTGCCTTATATCATTTTTTTCAGTAAAATCCATACAGAAATATGATTTCAAATGGAATTCAATTAAAGGTGTTTAATCAAAAAACAAAATTTTGATAAAAATTATCAAATGGACAAAAAAATACCAGTTTCTTCGGTTTCATTATTTTGATGAGCGCCCGATTTCACCACGATGTCGCAAATTGTTTAGATCTGTGCCTGGTTAGACATTTTAAAGCCAGCGTCTACTTTGACCACCTTTGTGTGGCGAAGATGTTTGTATCGCGCACCTACATGACGTATTTCTAAACAGGGCACAGAATTACACGTCACGTCACAACCCGGGAGATCTCCACCGCCCTCGTAAACTGACCAGACCACCCACAAGTGGGTGATTTTGACCTTTCTTTGTTTGTGTGTTTGTTTGTGTGTGTATGTGTTTGTTTGTTTGTGTTTGTTTGTTTGTTTTTGTTTGTATGTTTGTTTGTTTGTTGAATTTGTTTGTTTGTGTGTTTGTGTGTCTATGTGTGTTTGTTTGTGTTTGTGTTTGTTTGTTTGTTTGTTTGTGTAAAGAGAAGCAAATGGACACAATAGTGGTCGTTTAGTGCTGGGAAAAAGTACGACAGACAGACAGACAGACAGGCAGGCAGGCAGAAACAATAGAGGGGAAATTAAGTAGCAGGACCTACCAGCGGCACCCTCCAACCACCTGCCGATATCGCCCAGGTTGGCAAAGCGCTTGTTGAGAGTAAAGAAGAGGGAAGTGAAGTAACATAGACAACACAATGACGCCAGTGTCACTGAGCGTGAATAGAAGCATTGTTGCAATGTCATAGACGGAAGATGTTATATGTTCACAAAATACAATAGAATCCGCTGCAAATAACCAGCTCTTCAAGACAATCACCCGCACATAGGACAATTCCCACTTTCCTCTTGCGGTTTTTTTTTTCTTTTTTTCTGTTTCTTATTTATTTTTATTTTCTTTCTTTTTTGTCCCGTGCCCCGATATTTGTCGGTTACGTATGGTGCAAATTGTTATGTTTCAAGGAAAAAGAAACAAGAAAACCACAGCAAGAAACAGAGGAATTTCCTAGTCGGTGATGTTGATGATGTGGACCAATACGTAACTTATTGTAAACGCTTTGTTGCTATGGCGTCATCACTCTTTTTTTTTCTTCTCAGATACTTTGTTCCTGATGAAGCCTTACTGGCGAAACGTTGAACATCGAGGCCTAAAAGAACATCTGATTAAACGTGACCAACCCTATTCAAGTCTCAAGTATGTTACTTTTCTTTCTACTTTAAAACATCATGATGATGATGATGATGATTATGATGATGATGATTTTTGTTTCCTTAATGGGCCTGGCGGACTCCACGAAGAAATCTTCGAGAGAGAGCGAGGCTCTTTTTCGGCTCCATTGTCAATATGCTTAGCGGCACCTCCACTCGTCCAAATAACTCCATTCGAATTGCCATTGTTCCTGGACATTCAAAGATATGTTTGACATCCTCCTTTTCATGGCCGATTCTTCGGCAACATGGGCTGAGCTCTTCATTTACAAAGTTCTTATACCATC